CTCATCAAGGCACATGATATAGTCGTCCGTGTTGAGTCTGAGGTCCTGTGGGAAGATGAATGGAGGGATAACGTCGCCATCAAACATCATAATGATGACTGGAAACATCATTTTTTGGGGGATACAGCAAACCATCGCTTGTTCTGTGTGTTCACCCTCTTATACTGGTAGAAATTTTTCTTGTCTGAGAAAAATCAAAGCATGTTCGATTGGAGGGGGTGCTTGAATTTGTTCAAAAGCTTTGTAGTACTGTCTTTCATATTGTCCTTCATGGCCTGGGATTAAAAAAATTGCCCTTTCTCATTTTGTATGTAAAATACCGAATGCATGACGTTGTGGATTCCATGAAATCCGAAATAAATAACAACGCCAATGAATATAGGAAAATAATGTATTAACGTAATAATACAAACTGGTAAAGCAGGTTAGTAGTTCCAGGAATATGGGTTAGTAGCAAAATATACATATATATATACAGTCTTTGGTATTGAAGTATCGCTGTTACTGAGTCTACGTGCTCGCTCACGGTGACTCTTGCTGGCTACGTTCGTTCTGTCTGTCTGTTACCTTCAACCTTTCACTCCTCCTCTTCCGGTCTTGCTCTCACACTCGGGTCTTCACGTGGCGGTAGTATATGTATATACTGGGTGAGTCCATTTGTGTAAAAAGGGGAGGCCCCCTCAACACATAACCTGCCTGATAAGAATCCCGGACACTCTTGTGCCCCGGGGTATGAGCCTGATTGCCTTGAAGGGATCGTTGGCAGTCATGGCTTGGATTTCACCAAAAATTCGAGAGTTCTTTTCTCATCAGAACGATCAGAGTGAGTTTTTCGAGCTGTTGTATCTTCGTAATCACTATTAGACTCATCCAACTCTTTTCAAAACCTCTTCTGCAATGTCCTCAGATTGACAGCCAACAACTCTGAAATGTTCGTATTGGAGCTTCCGGCGAGAATTCCAAGCAGTAAAACATGCCATTTCAAACAATTCTGGCGGCATGAATTGCGTCATCGTGCTCTTTTTCTGACAGACGGTCCCTAAAGACACTACTAAACTGTGCAGTTGAGAAAATCAAAAACAAACAATGCGCATGCGCGAAATTAATAAATAAAATGGTTTCAGTTCACCCATCGTACCCTGTATAAGAAGGACAACATTGAAACAATGGATAAACATCTATCCCTGTTAAAAAATGGGGAAGAGTGTGATCCGGGCGGTAATTTTTCGATAAATTAATTCTCATTTTTTTTTTTTTTGATTATTCCGCTACGGCTGGATAGGTACAAATGACAAAGTTGAGGATGCCCGTCTTAATATTTCATTGGTTAAAGACAATATTTCTCTGATGTTTTGACGACTGTTTCTCGTAAACATCGAGTAGCTCTATATAAATAAAGCGCAGTGTACGTGTGTCCGTCCGTCCGTCGGTCAGTTTTACGATCTCGGTGAATCATAAACAACTTGAAGTAACAGGGATTAACTGCTGTAGCTACGCACAATTAAAAATTAAATTAAATAACTCCTTTAAAGTTAAATTTAAATATCGAACAGAGTGAAAGCTTTAAAAAAAACAATTCTTTCACTTAAATTTCACTTTTCGTCGCAATTTTAATTGATATCGTCTTATTAAAGCGTAACTTACGCAGGGCACGGTACGTTGCTCATATGTTTTCTTTTTCTTTTACTAGCACGCGTACTGTGACGTATTCGAAATACTACATGTTTCGGGTTCCCTAATGTCCTTTTAAGAGAGACTTTATATGAAGGAATCATGAAGAATGGTGATTTTAAAAGAAAATAAAAATTGCTAGCAAAATGAATGTTTAAAGAAACTATGGAGATCAGTTGCGTATACGAAGAAAGACTATGCCGAAGTAAAGTGCCGAACAAAGTGTTGTGGAGTATTTTCACAGTGGAGGCTTGTATTTCTAATAAGTCGTACAAAACGTTAGGAACTTGGAAAATAATAGTCAATGACGCAGCAAATCTAGTTGTGATGGTTGGTACTTCAAATGTCCGAATCTCGACTGACATTCTCAACACCGTTCGGTATTTATCATTTCGCCAACGGGAAACGAATATGGCACAAGGCCGGTTTTATTGTGGGTTTCTCCAAGCCCGTAGGCTCGGCCAAAAAATAGCCTTTTGAAGCCGATTAGACGGGTTCAGGCCCTGTCTACCTCCCCGGACGAAACCTTGCCCTTCGGCAAAGCCTCGTCCGGGTTCCTCTCTGCTAATGCAGAGAGTTTGACAGAAGGTGTGCACAGTCAGAGACCGCTCAACACCGTTCAGTATTTATCATTTCACCCACGAGAAACGAATATGGCACAAGGCCGGTTTTATTGTGGGTTTCTCCGAGCCCGTAGGCTCGGCCAAAAATAGCCTTTTGAAGCCGATTAGACGGGTTCAGGCCCTGTCTACCTCCCCGGACGAAACCTTGCCCTTCGGCAAAGCCTCGTCCGGGTTCCTCTCTACTAATGCAGAGTTCGACAGAAGGTGTGCACAGTCAGAGACCGCTCAACACCGTTCGGTATTTATCTTTTCACCCACGGAAAAGAATATGGCACAAGGCCGGTTTTTATGTGGGTTTCCCCGAGCCCGTAGGCTCGGCCAAAAAAAATAGCCTTTTTGAAGCCGATTAAACGGGTTCAGGCCCTGCCTACCTCCCGGACGAAACCTTGCCCTTCGGCAAAGCCTCGTCGGGTTCCTCTCTACTAATGCAGAGTTCGACACAAGGTGTGCACAGTCAGAGACCGCTCAACACCGTTCGGTATTTATCTTTTCACCCACGGAAAAGAATATGGCACAAGGCCGGTTTTTATGTGGGTTTCCCCAGGCCCGTAGGCTCGGCCAAAAAAAATAGCCTTTTGAAGCCGATTAAACGGGTTCAGGCCCTGTCCACCTCCCGGACGAAACCTTGCCCTTCGGCAAAGCCTCGTCCGGGTTCCTCTCTGCTAATGCAGAGAGTTCGACAGAAGGTGTGCACAGTCAGAGACCGCTCAACACCGTTCGGTATTTATCTTTTCACCCACGGAAAAGAATATGGCACAAGGCCGGTTTTTATGTGGGTTTCCCCGAGCCCGTAGGCTCGGCCAAAAAATAGCCTTTGAAGCCGATTAAACGGGTTCAGGCCCCCTGTCCACCTCCCCTGACGAAACCTTGCCCTTCGGCAAAGCCTCGTCAGGTTCCTCTCTGCTAATGCAGAGAGTTCGACAGAAGGTGTGCACAGTCAGAGACCGCTCAACACCGTTCGGTATTTATCTTTTCACCCACGGAAAAGAATATGGCACAAGGCCGGTTTTTATGTGGGTTTTCCCCGAGCCCGTAGGCTCGGCCAAAAAATAGCCTTTTGAAGCCGATTAAACGGGTTTCAGGCCCCGTCCTACCTCCCGGACGAAACCTTGCCCTTCGGCAAAGCCTCGTCCAGGTTCCTCTCTGCTAATGCAGAGAGTTCGACACAAGGTGTGCACAGTCAGAGACCGCTCAACACCGTTCGGTATTTATCTTTTCACCCACGGAAAAGAATATGGCACAAGGCCGGTTTTTATGTGGGTTTCCCCGAGCCCGTAGGCTCGGCCAAAAATAGCCTTTGAAGCCGATTAAACGGGTTCAGGCCCTGTCCACCTCCCGGACGAAACCTTGCCCTTCGGCAAAGCCTCGTCCGGGTTCCTCTCTGCTAATGCAGAGAGTTCGACAGAAGGTGTGCACAGTCAGAGACCGCTCAACACCGTTCGGTATTTATCTTTTCACCCACGGAAAAGAATATGGCACAAGGCCGGTTTTTATGTGGGTTTCCCCGAGCCCGTAGGCTCGGCCAAAAAAATAGCCTTTTGAAGCCGATTAAACGGGTTCAGGCCCTGTCCACCTCCCCGGACGAAACCTTGCCCTTCGGCAAAGCCTCGTCCGGGTTCCTCTCTGCTAATGCAGAGAGTTCGACAGAAGGTGTGCACAGTCAGAGACCGCTCAACACCGTTCGGTATTTATCTTTTCACCCACGGAAAAGAATATGGCACAAGGCCGGTTTTTATGTGGGTTTCCCCGAGCCCGTAGGCTCGGCCAAAAAAATAGCCTTTTGAAGCCGATTAAACGGGTTCAGGCCCTGTCCACCTCCCCGGACGAAACCTTCGGCAAAGCCTCGTCCGGGTTCCTCTCTGCTAATGCAGAGAGTTCGACAGGAGGCGTCCGCAGTCAGAGACCGCGAGGCACCGTTCTGCAGACTTGCCACTGCTACTCCTACTTATTATCTATGGGAGAGTCCATTACCAAAGAATAGGTACTATGGCACAACCCAAAGATAAAACAATTTTATTGTTTCTAAATTCTTATAAATTTCACACACAAGGTAAAAGGCTGAAGGTAAAAGGCCGATGTTCCAAAAGCCCTCCACATCAGCTAGCGTAAAGTCAGCTTGATGGGCATTTTCCAGGTTAGTTATAAAATAAACCATGCTAGCTTGATAAAAAATAAATAAATAAATAAAGTGGAATTTTAAAAAAGGAAAAAGTGTTTACCATCTTTCTGACATTTCTTTTGTGTGTGTGAGGGGGGGCATTTTTCTTCATGTCTTGTAGCAAAAGGAGGTTTAGTTCAGATCTAAGCATTCACTTAATAACACAACGTTATAGTTTGACGCTGAAAACCTCATTTTTACTATCGCTTGACAAACTGACAGGCTTGCTTGTATGATTTATCGGCGCAGATATTTGGTCTTGGCGAATTTTCTAATACCCACACGTGAATGATGGCGTTTCAGACCAAACGAAGACCGTAAGCAGATGTGCAGACACACTGCCGCATTCTCACACGAGCACAGCGATACGTGTTAGGCGAGTACACACGCAGGCTTTGCGAGGATTGGTGAAGGTGTGTTTTACGTGTAATGTTTTGGCATATCTTCAATATATACGTCCATGAAAATGTGCGCAGAGTGTCTTGTTTAAGTTATTTATGAGACAGAAGATTGTGAATGAAAGAAGCGCGCGAAGAAAAACAAGAACTTTAAGTGTTTTTCATTTCAAACATCAGAAATATTTTCAGGGCTTGACCCTGATATACTCTATTGACAAGAGATAGATAGACCCTGACATACTCTATTGAGAAGAAATAGATAGATAGATAGATAGATAGATAGATAGATAGATAGATAGATAGATAGAAATAGAATGAGATAGATAGATAGATAGATATATAGATTGACATGAACAGACTAAGATAGATAGATAGATAAATATATAGATAGATATAAACAGAATGACATATATATATAGAGAGAGATAGATAGATAGATAGATAGATAGATAGATAGATAGATAGATAGATATGAACAGAATGAGATAGATATAAACAGAATGAGATAGATAGATAGATAGATAGATAGATAGATAGATAGATAACTAAATAGATAGATAGATAGATAGATAGATAGATAGATAGATAGACAGAAATAGAATGAGATAGATAGATATATAGATTGACATGAACAGACGAAGATAGATAGATATATAGATAGATATGAACAGAATGACATATATATATATATATATATATATATATATATATAGAGAGAGAGAGAGAGAGAGAGAGAGAGAGAGAGAGATAGATAGATATGAACATAAATAGATAATTAGATAGATATGAACAGAATGAGATAGATAAATAGATTGATAGAAACAGAATGAGATAGATAGATAGATAGATAGATAGATATAGATATGAACATAGATATATAACTAGATAGATAGATAGATATGAACAGAATGAGATAGATAGAATAATAGATAGATAGATAGATAGATAGATAGATAGATAGATAGATATGAACAGAATGAGATAGATAAATAGATACGACACGAACTTTTACAAAATACTTAGATGACAGCAAAATTAAAGTATTGGCGTACGTCACACAAAGTCCTGATCTAAGCACCCATTGAAAGTTTATGGGCATATTTGAAGAGAAAGTAAGAGATAAGAGTCCTTTGAAGATACTGGCAGCTATTGCCAAGGAAGAATGGAGCTAAATACATATTACTGTATGTAGTGATCTTGTAAGGAACTATCAAAAATGATTAAAGGCAATAACCAAGAATAAAGATTACACAATTGATCATTGAAGCAAGAGAGCCAATCATTTTGTTCTATGTAAATATTTTTCATTGATAATTTTTGTATTATTGTTTGATATTAAAATAAAAAGTTTGTAGTGGAAATCACTGTATATCTTTTCAAATCCATTGTTTTATCATTTGTGAAAAAATGCACATGACGTTTCCATAAAAATTTGCTTTATTTGTAATTATGCAAGAGGATGGGAATAATTCTGTTCACAAGTATTTATATATATATGTATATATATATATATATATATATATTAGGTTGGTGCAAAAATAATGACGTAATAATGTCGTTTTTTGATGTTTTTTTAACGTCAAAAACGATATTATTACGTCATTATTTTTGCACCAACCTAATATATGCATATTTCATTAAAAACGACAGACAAAGTACTACGGTTAAGCTTTTTATTTAATGTTTCTTGCGTTCTAACAAGAGCTTTCCTTTCTGGACACACTCAATTAAGCTGAAAAATCGAATCATCCTCGATAATGGCTAAAGGTATAGCCGAAAGCGCTCGGAACTATAAAACATTTGGACAGTTTTTACACTCTTTGTCCAGAAAAGAAAGCTCTTGTTCGAACACAAAAAAATTAAATAAAAAGCTTAACCAAGTACCTTGTCTGTCGTTTTTAATGAAAAACGCATAAGAAAAGGATTGCTGCCTAAATATACAACCTAACTATATATATATATATATATATATATATATATATATATATATATATATATATATATATATATATATATTCTCCGTTTAGGGAATTCTCAGCATACTTTTATAATGGAATTCTCAGCATCCTTGTTCAGAGCTACATGTCCGTTGTCTCAAGTCTTCCCTTTATCTGTAAGTAACAGATTAAAGACGCTGCTGACAACAGGTTTTTCGTTAGAATCTTTTGGACACACTTAATGCTTAAATGTCTATGAATGTATCGGAATGCTGATTTAAAAGAAAACTTACTTTACACCTGCTTGTCGATTATCTGATATCGTCAACCATTGAGATAAGTGGAATCCTACAAATGTAGATAAGCAATTAATTAGATGCTTGACGAGTTTATTCCAAGTCAATGATAAGGAAGAGGGGTAACATTTGAATGTTCACACCAGATGCTTGTTGGTTATTGTGGGGAGTTGAACGGCTGCAAGTCTATCCAAAACATTAGCACCGCTCCCAGTAGACTCGCTCACTCTAGCGACACTGAAATCTAAATCATGCAGTCTTCTCAGATAGTCTAATTCATCCAATCCTTATATTTTTGGCAATCACCTCAGGGCTTTTTGACAAGACTCATAGTATTCAGGTTCCATAGTTTTTTCCAGAAAAAAAATGTCCTCTGTTTTCGAAAATGTTCTGTTTTCGTTTGCCCTCATCCGGAGTTTGCTAGTACATCTTATAGTACTTCATCTTTATATATATATATATATATATATATATATATATATATATATATATATATATATATATATATATATATATAAAGATGAAGTACTATACCCAAGAAGCGGATGTACTAGATTGAGGAATCGCAGAGCCGAGTTCGAATTCCAGTCGAATCCATTACATTCACTTACGAGCTAATACCCTTGGGAAAGGTGTGAATCCTCTTCTTCTCCCTCCAGCTATGGGTAAATAGCAGGACACACTGAGTTCCATAGCCTTGGATGGCAACTGGTCTAGGAGAAGGACAACTCTGAATTCAAAACCTGCGGAGGGCTGTTTGGGGACCTTGTGGCAGGAAGTGCACCAGGTCTCTGTATTCGGCCCTTCAAAAAGTGTGGATGATCCTGCACGAAACCTTCACCACTATAATCAAATCTCATGTGCTGTTGTCGAACTGTCGGTTTCCTGGGAACTGATCTGCTTGAACCTCATACGTCGAACTCGACGGAAGAGTCGACTATATATATATATACATATTAGCTTCGACTTTGATTTAATTGCAGATGCTCTTGACATAAGTATTCATAATTATCATCATGATGATTATAACATTATAAAGAGTGTTTCATTAAGACGAATCATAGCCAGCCTTAAATAAATTTTATTGAAAATAAATGCTGGGAATTTTTATATGAATTTAATAAGTTCAATATCCTAGTTTATAAAATAAATCTGTGATAAGGTGTTTGTTATATTTATAATTTGATCATGATTTTGAAGAAATAATTTTTTTGTTTTTAAATAGTAAAAATCCATAAGTGTTTGTCAAATTAAAAGCAAACAGAACTGAAATATATCAACATTGGCCTTGGTTATCCTATTTTACGTCTTGAATTTGATGCTGAATATGGAAGCTACTCCTTTCTGGTGATGAGATGAGCATGTTGTTCGTAAATTTGTGAGCACCTTTGTGGGCAAGAAACTGTCTTTTTCGTTAATATTTATTTTTTGACTGAAATCAATGAAAAAGCAAGAATTCCTTTGTTTACAGATTTGCAAAAGAACAGTATTGTTTGCAATTTTTGGTTGCATAAGGTTTTTAATTATGCTTATTTACTGTATTGTTCTGAATTGTGTCATTTTTTCTATTTGTCATTAAAAAAATTTATCAACTGCTAGATATGAAAATAAATTTATTTATATCTCTATTTCATGTTATTTAAGTCATGTCAATTATGTGTGAAAAATAATATCGCCCAAATGTCCGCCAAGGCTTCAATGGCACACCAGCACTCGATGGTCAAAATTTTTGATGACGTCTCTGTATAGTTGCTCCTCGATCTCACAAATAAGCCTTATTATGCCATCCTTCATCTTTTGAATTGTTGTTGGCTTATTGGCACAGACATTACTTTTGAGATGACCCCAAAGGAAGAAATCTAAAGGCGTCAAGTCGCACGATCATGGTGGTCAATTGACTTCGCTGTTTCGAGAGGCGATGCGATCTGGAAACTTCTCATTCAATAAAGCCATTGTTGAATTGGCTGTGTGGCATGTGGCGCCGTCCTGCTGGAACCACAAATATTAGACATCCATAGCATTCAATTCAAATTCAAATTGCCAAAGATTTAAGTTGTTAAATCTGGAAAAAAAATCATTACACGCTTAAATTTAATTCACATTTAAAATCGGTCCAAGTTATTGGAACACCCTTTATATGCAGTAACATTGAGCTTCAAGACCCGATCAAGAAACTTCTTGAAAGAATCGACGCATATGAAATAAAAACGCAACACAGAGAAATCCAAAATAATGGTGAACAGCAGAAGCAGCATTAGTGCCAACGTCACCAGGAACAGCGAATCACTAGAGGAAGTGTTCAGTTCCAACCCTGTCAAAAGATGGCACCGTACGATAACCAGAAAGTAAAGGGTGGGGGAGAGCAACATCAGCTTCCAGAAAAAGTTCAAGCTTTAAAAAGCGTATTAATCCTTATGTATGGGTGTGAGACTTGGGCACTTCCGGCAGAGGCAGGGAAAAAGATCCTGACGGTCGAGAAGAAATGCTTAAGAAAACTCATCCGAATCTCAAAGGCAGTATATGGAGAATGGTCAAAATTCTCGGGGGTCGACTTGAATCTCTCGCCGCCACTATTAAGTATCGGAAGTTGACAAAAGGTTGGCCACGTTACACGGCATAACAGCTTCAGCAAGACTGTGAAGCACTTTTGAAGGCGGACGCAAGCGGTGATGACAACGCAAGAACTGGTCAAACAGCATAAAGGCGGGGACTGATAAGATAGTGTCGTAACTCCTGAAAACTACTGCCAACAGAACATCCTGGGGGAGTTTGTTTCTTCTATACATAGATCCCTACAACGATTGAAACAGTCCAGAGTGCGATGATGATAAGTATGATTTTGTAAAAAGAACTCTTTACCAAATGTTCCACAAGAGAAATTATGATCAGGAATTGGAATGAAAGTTATGATAATACCTACACTGAATCCATCATAATAATTCCGAAAATGTAAAAAAATCGGTAAACTTCAAATACCTCGGTGTATGGGTCAGTTATATCAAATTTCGCATAGAAAAAAAAGTAGACAGACTACGTTATTATTGCTTTATTTCCTTTGGTTTCTGGTGTATACTTTATGGGTCCCGACCAGAGACCTAAGGTCAGAAATGTCAACATGACATTTTCCACTGAGCAGTTTAAAAAAAAATCACATATTTTACATCGATAAAGCCCTTCGTAAGGTGTGGGCTGAACTTGTGAGTTAATTTTTTTGTATTTCTTTAAGGCATGGGCTGCCAGGAATCCCTTTAATGAGTCTATTGGAATCTTTTCCAATCAATCCAAGGGCTTCAACTTGAATTGTTAATGTCCTCATGCGCCACATTTTTATTAATAATAATAATAATAATAATAATAATAATAATAATAATAATAATAATAATAATGTTGCTGCTGTTGTTGTTATTATTCTCTTTGAGATTTATATCAGTCGCTTCTGGTGGTTCTAGGTAAACATAGAGCGACGGCAAGTCTTACTAATCCAGTATTTTGGTAATAGTAATATTGTGGAGTAATGGGTAGCGGTTCGGATTAAGGAATCGCAGAGCCGAGTTCGAATTCCAGTCGAATCTGTTACATTCACTTACATGGTAATACTCTTGGGAAAAAATCTGCCTCGTCAGTCATGCATCGAAAGATACATGATCGCCTACGCGTGTATCACGCATGGCACATAGCTGAATAATGTGGTAGGCTTGCTTGTTTCAGTTCCTTCTCAGATTTCCAACAATGTCATTAAAAAGAAAGGTCATTAGAACCATTCAATTGTTCCGTGAAATATTCAGAATTTAATATTCCAAATGGTTCTTATTTTTCTGGTATTTTTAAATTTTTTCAATTCTTGTTTTCATTTTCATTCTCCTAGAACATCTATATGCATCATTTGATATTTCATACACTTTCTTTTGTTTAATGTGACGAGATCTAGTCTTTTTGTCTGAGAGTTATATGTTTGCATTTCAGTGATCCTAAAATTTCTTGGAGATGTTTTGACATGTTTAGAATGCGTACTTTTGTGGAAAGTAGGGTGGCTAATATTCCTTAATATCAGTCATTACAGCGGTATATTGTTACATTGTGATGTCTATAGTCATTATTACAGTAAATTATAATACTGTCCTGACTAAAGTCAATATTACAGTATATTATTGTATTGTATTGTCTATAGGCATTATTACAGTAAATTATGACATTGTCCTGTCTATAGTCAACATTACAGTATATTGTTGTCTTCTAATGTCTATAGTCATTATTACAATAAATTATAACATTGGTTTGTCTATAGTCTGCATTACAGTATAATATTGCATTGTAATATCTATTGTCATTATTACAGTAGATTATAGAGATGTCCTGTCTTTAGTCAACATTTTTATATATTTATTAATTAATTGTCCTATCATTACTACAGAAGATTATTTCTTCGTACTATCTTTATTACAGTATACATGATTAAACTTGCATTTAATTGAAGCAAATTGAATTCAGTTTTCGAGCTCTTCGTCAGTAAAATTAAAAAAGAAGAAATTATACTCTTCCTGAAGCAATCGAAATATATGAGCGGTTAGTGTTTCCCCTTTAAGGACGAATCGTCTGGAACAAGGAAAGTCTACTTTTTTAAAAAAGTTTTTTTTTTTTTTTCTCTCTCATTTTGTGATTCCTCTCGAATTTTCCGATTAGGATTCTTTCTTCTTCAGATCGTTTTCTGTTTCTTTGCCTATTCACTCTAACAACGGAGCGAAGAATTGGTATTGATTTCTGATTTCATTCAGAATCGAATTAACAGTCAGCAAACGACAATTTTGAGAAGAGAAAAAAAAGAAAGAAAAAGAACGAATTGGGTATTGAATAAGAAATGGTAGAATTCGATGTTCAGCTTTCTGGTAAAAAAATGATCGCTATACAGACCCGAATTAACCTTTTGGCATTCTTAAAGTCTTGGAATTCAGCGTTTCGCCAAAGCTCAAACTTAATTATCTGCGTGTGTGAGAAGCCGTTAAGAAAACGAGGAAATGGTAAATGCTTTTCTCTTTGACAAAAAATAGGATCACCGTCTGAAGAACGTCCCAAGAAATCAGGGTAATTTCGAGATAATAAGGGAAAGGATCCTGTGGAGAGCCATGATCCCTCACGTCCTGAAGCGATATAGCATTTTGGAACGAAATATTCTGTTTGGGAAGGTTCACTTTTTTCTACGGTTTGTATAACATATCATAGCATGTCCGAATACACATATTTATTTATCATGAGAGAAACTAATTTAAATGAACGGAAATATCGAATCATTATTAATACTAATTTGACTTTTATTATGCTAATTCACTTTCTACATGTTAGTATTCTGTTGTGTTTGAATATCCCACGGAATATTTTTTTCTTTAATATTTAAGTGCTAAACCAACTTTTCATGATTAGAGAAGCAGTTTTTGTAAATGCCTATGACAGGTAATCTCTAGTCTTAGTTGTTGAGGGGTTCTCCCCTTTTTACACAAATGGACTCACCCAGTATATACATATACTACTGCTGCTACGTGAAGACCCGACAGAGTGACAGACAAGAGACCGAGAAAGGGGAGTGAAGGTAACCGGAAGAGTGAGAGAAAGATAACAGACAGACAGAACGAACGTAGCCAGCAAGAGTCACCGTGAGCGAGCACGTAGACTCAGTAACAGCGATACTTCAATACCAAAGACTGTATATATATTTTGCTACTAACCCGCATTCCTTGAACTACTAACCTGCATTACCAGTTTGTATTATTACGTTAATACATTATTTTCCTATATTCATTCTTGGCGTTTTGTATTTATTGGTACCGGATTTCATCCCGGAATTCACAACATTAGTAATAACATTTGTGTAAATTACAGCCAGTTTTATTTATTACCTGAGAATAAAGGGAAAACAATTTTTGCTGAACTGTTGAAATTTCGTCTTCTTGAATTCTATTATCTCAATGCGATTTTCCAAGTTAAAGCCTTTTATATGCTTTTTTATGTAAACCTATAAAATCAGAGATAACGCCAAATAATAATAATAATAATAATATAACAATAACATTATTAAAGATCAATTAACGTGTTTCTCCCTCTTTTTGCAATTTTAGACGTTCTTGTCAACAAATTTCACAGACAGGCGAGATGAAGCGAATCTTATGATTAAAATATGTTCAACTAAGGAGAAACTATACCACGATTTTTTTTTCATAGATAAAGTTCCATCTTATAAACAATGTTATATTTAAACTCAGTGTGCAGTTAACAGTTTTTATAGGTGCCTTCGGCGATAGAAGAAATAAATTTAGAGAAAATCAGTTCCATAGCTGGCACGATTTCTAAAGTTTAGGGATTAAATTATTACAG